CCTCGGGGCTTTGCGGCAGGGTCTTCCTCCTGCCTCCCCCCCCAGCTTCGAGGCTCCTGGGAATGTGGTAGGGAAGAGGCCAGGTCGCAGGGAGCAGGTGGAAATAACCCACCTGCCCGCGCCCCCCACCCCGCACCCTCCAGGGCGATACAGTCTCGAGACGTCAGCGCCCAGACCCTCCGCAAGGCCGAGGGACACCAGGTCCTCCCTTGGACCAGGAGAACGCGCCAGACAGGGCCCTGGCAGTGGAGCTGGACCCACGAAGCTGCTTAGGAAGGGGCTTCAGCAGCTTTTGAGGGGCGGCTCCCGTGGCTCGGAGTTTTGGGGGGACCTGGCCCACGTCAGAGCCTGTTCCAGGTACGGAAGTGAGGAAGAGAAGAGGCCTCCATGGCGGGGGGGCGCGGGGTGGCCTGGGGGGAGACATCCCCCTGCGGCTTCTGGCCTCTGAGGTTCTTAGCCTTTGGCCTGAGGGCTGATATTACCTCCTGACTTAGCTAGTGGTTCTGTCTGCTCCTTAGGGGACAAGCACACAGTATGCACATGTCTACACAAATCCTCGGGACAGGTAGACCCTTCCACCAGCCAAGGTGCCGGAAGAGGGTTCCCCCTAACTTCTGACCAGAAGTCATTTGTCTCCAATGTGCTGCAGTCTGTTCATTAACTGACATTTGGGAACCCTTTGGGCTCATTAACGCAATGTTCTGGCTTCAGTTGTTGTTGTTGTTGTTGTTGCCATTGTCATTTATTTGTTTAGCCTTAGCAGTTAGCTTGGGGGGAGATGAGCAAACAGACAAAACGCAGACACCTTGGAAGATGTTTCAGTTTATTAAGCAAAAGATAAAAAGGCATGGCATCCAGAGCACAAGGATGGGTGCTTGAATTGTTGCAGTATGTGAACTTGGGCATGAGGTGATCTCAGAATAAGATAAAGCAAGCTTCAGGAGCTGCCATGTTGCACCTGCAGCAAGCTGTGTGACGGGGGCCGGCAGCAGGCACGCGAGGAATGGCCGGGATGCTTGACCCCAACTGGTAGTCGGGCCAGTGACCGCTTTGGGAATCCTGTCACTGTCTCCAGATTCTGAAGGGCAGCCCCATGGAGACGCCAGGCTAGCGCAGTGGCTAGCTGAATAGGCGTGGAAGTCAGGATGCTGGCGTTCAAATCCCTTCTTCTCCAGTTACCCACCCAGAGCCTCAGTTTATCCATCTGCAAAGTAGGGTCATAATCTGAGGTGCTTGGAAGAGTGCCTGGAACAAACATGATGTCTGTGAGTCCTGGGTGCTGTTCAAGAGCTGAGGAGCCCCAGTTCCTTGGTAGCCAGTTGATCCCCCTGGGAGTGGAGATGGCAGTGAGACAGGAATCTGCCCACAGTGTGGGTGGCAGCTGGTGGCGTCTGTCAGGGTATGCACTGTGGCCAGGAGGCCTCTGTCAGTATTATTTATAGCACATGCCCCACCCAGGTCCAAGAATGGACCGGTAACATTGGCCGAGTGGAAAGGGGCATAGCTGAACAGTGTTGAAGAGAAGAAACTGAGGCCTGAACAGGGAGGGACGCACACCCTGGTACCTGGAGGTGGCCCCTCCGAGCCCAGGGATGGTGTGAACCCTGAGATTCCCAACACCCAAAAGTGCGCTACAGACGTGATGAGCCTTGGGTTTGCAAACATCAGCAAAATTCTTCAAACCCCCTTTGACGTGTGCGTTTCTTCTTATAAGCCAGCATCGCCTGGCAGGCCTGCATTTTCCACTTAGGCCAGGGCTAAGTCAACACTTTAAAATAGCTGCGCGGTATTTCCTCATGATTCAGCCACATTTGCAAAAGTGACAAAAGAAACTGATATGAAGGAGTGAAATGACCATAACTTCTATTTCCCTTTTAATTCTGACTGTTTCTACCTGATCGTAGTAATAACTTTATGACTCTCATAGATTTTATCCCCAATATGTTGAGTGATGACTTAACCTCATGAGTACCTCCAAGCTCTGCCCAGATTTCTTTAACAAAAACACGCCAAAAAAGGTGCACCTGGGAGCATCTGTGTAGCACAGATCTTTTTGGAAAGTTTGCCTTCTTAGGTAGCTTCCATAGGACGCCTGGAAAATCTTTTCTTTATATGTTGTACAGAGATACTTCAGTATCGACATTTTATTCTTAAAACTCCCTCTGCTCATTGGGGCTCAAGCATAAAACAGTTAGTACTGAAGTGAGTTCGGACAGACATGTGCAAGAGTTCACAGACCTTCTATCTGTCTGCTGCTTGTGCACTCTGTGGTTGGTATTTCTTTGCAGACTAAACCTGCACTCATCAAAAGTTCTTTCTAGCCGGGCTCGGTGGCTCAGCCTGTAATCCCGCGCCTTTGGGAGGCTGAGGTGAGTGGACTGCCTGAGCCCGCGGGTTCGAGACACACCTGGGCAACTTGGCGAGACCTCATCTCTACAATAAATCAAAAAATCAGCCGGGCATGGCAGCACAAGCCTGTAGTTCCAGCTACTTGGAAGGCTGAGGCGGAAGGATCGCCAGAGCCCAGCAGGTGGAGGCTGCGGTGGCTG